GTCCATGAGTAAACAAGCACAGAATGCCGTTATGCCCTAAACATTGTTCGTGGCAGATGTGATGAGAGAAGGGGGGATCTCTCTTGCCCTGGGAAGATTTACATCCACATAGGGAGGCTTCACAAACAACTTTAGAACACTTAAAAAGCATCCTATCAACACATGCCAAGTAACTTCGTGCCAAGGACAAACTCCCCGTGGCAATGTGCATTCAGAGCTGTTCCACAGATGTTCTGTACAGAGGCATGAAGTTAACCAATAACTATAACAGGGCCCACTCTGGGCTATTACAGCTTTTGTGATTCCAGTTTGATCATGAAAACAAAGCCTGTAATTCAAGGAATTAGGACTTTGTTGTTAATATTCACATTAGCAGTTTCTTGAAATAAAGCAGACAATTTTGTTATCACAAATCCTAATACATAAAATGAGGCAACTTATTCTTCAATTAAGTTTATACTATATCTATAGTGACTTTAATATTTCTAGAATGTCTGTGTCTCAAAGAGTGAGACCTGTTTTTAGGTAGTAGCAAATGTTTTACTAAACCATGAATTCATTCATACCGGAGGTCAGATATGTATTTTCAAATTCATAGTGAAATATAGTATGTACTTCTTGCTATACAAAAGAAGGCTCTGAGGCAGTTTTAACAGGATTCGACCACAGGCACACTCTCAGCCACTGACATACTTGTGCAAGCTTCTCAGAGTCCCTCCCACCCCAGCCATCTGGTGGTCTCCAAGCACTTCGCATACCCCAAAAATAGTCTGGCAAGGTCATTTCCACAGACTCTCTTCAACCTTAAAACTCTCAATTCAAGGCTAAGGGATTATACATTTATTTAAGATATTGTTGCCATTATGTTCTAATTACTAATGTTTACCTCCATTTTCTCTGAATAGGGAGATGAATATATTTTTAAATGCCAACTTATTAGTGGCTTACCAAGGGACATTTTCTTAAACTTCTAAAATGACAGAATTATTACAACATTATTTAAAAGTTTAATAATCAAGTCAAACCTACTTCCGTAGTGACACTGACCTTTNAACTATTGAAACAAAAGGCTTACTTAGGTTTTCTCTTTTGGTTCAAAAATATGTTTTGCTTTGGCTCACTGTCCCTCAATAGAGCAAAGCGTACTAATCATCTTTAATAAACTTTAAGTTTCAGTTGACAAAAAATACCAAGAATTGACCAAAGGCTATGCAAAAGTTTTAGTTCACCCCAATGCACAGACCCCTCTACCCCACTCCCAAGGGCTCCTAAAATTAACTTACCGACTGGAGAGCATTTCGGGCAAGGATCAGTTTGTCTTCACAGATGACACTGTCCCTCTGAACTCGGTTAGCGATCTGCTGCAACATTTCCAACCTAAAAAAAAGGAATAAAATAAAATCAAGCCTGTCTCTGGGAAGTGGCAGGGTACTCAATCACCAGAAGTAAAACACAACCCCATGCCCATGATCCAATACCTGTGTCCATCAACGGATTCATTGCCGAAGCTAATGCAGGAGTTGATTAGTGTTGGACCACAATTAACAGAGAGGAAATTTTCATTTGAATCAAGACTGGTTCGAGTGCTGGTTGTATTACTGAACACAGAATCACTGCTATGGTAACTGTAACTACTACTGTGCATTTTTGTTCCTGATATGATGTTCTTTCTTGGTCATTACAAAGGAGACTGAAAAAGTAGATCTGCAGAAAGCTCTACTTCTAACGGTGAAAAGGGGCAGCTGGATATTACAGCTTTAACAGCTCCTTAAATACGCTCCTACATGCATATTCAACACACAGCAAATAACATGCTGATAAGTATTCAAAAGAATCTTGCCCAAAGCCACGCGTTTGCTAGCTGAGGTTTGCCTTTTGTAGCTTGCATTAAAACCCTGCAAGTATAGACAAGGCAGCTTGATCCGGGCGTCACTGAAAAAAAGGCTAGCCAAATATTTTCACCAAGAGTCATCTGATTGCAGCCACCTAAAAAAACAACTCAGAAGCCTCACCGAAGCCCAGGTACAATTAGTAAAAGTTATTCTGGCTATAGCAATCATCAGCTAAAACAACACAAATATTCAATCACAGCCTGACTTTTGCAAAGGACCAGGTCTGTTCTGAATATCACGAGGCTAAAAGCTGGCACTTATAAACATGTATAAACAAATGAGTTTGAGGAGAAACAAAGTACATTCCCATTTTAACTACCATGTCATTTGTTTGTTAGGTTAAATTAACTGGCAAATGATCCATTTACATTTCTTTATATGATGTGCCCTCTGGACTGTTACTTCTAATCTTACTATAGTTGCTTTGTATTTTTAAAAGCCAAAGGGCTAAGTACAACAAAACATCAATGCAATGCTTGCAAATTTAAGTTACCTGTGCTTGTTTTTCCCTTCTATAGGTTATCGCCTGGCATAAGAACTCCTTATTTGTCTTCTACACACTCCCATGCCACATAGCTATTATTTGCAATATATAGTTAATGCCAAAAAACTTGTTGCATCAAGAAAACTGAAGGCATTTATCCAAATAAGCTCCTGAATATTTTCCTACCCTCAACACTACAAAGCCAAACTACTACTTCTCCACTCTGAAGGTTGATATTTTCTTTTTGGAAGGCAGGAAAGGGGACATTTGAGAGTGCCATATCAAATATAGTTAGTAAACAGAAATTTTCAAAATAATAACAGCAGCACCTAACATTTATTAAGCAATTATATGCCAGGAAATTAACTAATCATTTTATGTACATTAACTCATCTCCTACTCATAACTACCAAACGTGGTAGGTACTATTACATCCTGTTTACAAATGAGGAAACTGAGGCTTAGAGAGGTTAATAAGCTTGTCTTAAATGACATATGGCTTGCAAGCTGAGTTAGTAATCTAACCCAGGACTGATGACTCCTGGACTTTGAACTCTTAACCAGTGCATTCTTTATTAACCCATATTAAAAATCCAGCTACTATTCAGATGACTAAAAATCTACTCCATGTCCTGTCTCTGGTACTTCAGTAATCAACCATTGCTTCAGATGATTAGCTTAGTATTTCATTTTAATCACCCACCATTTCCTCCTCCATAAAAGGTCCACTCTTTGAATTTCAAGCATATTTGGGTTCCAATGATCCAGTTATGTGGATATAACGTTATTCTTTAACAAGAGTGTAGTTAGTAATTTAATAAAGCACTGACAAGTTAGACTTGTTCTCGTATCATCAACGTATTAGTTTGTATTTCAACCATGTTGAAGTCATGCACAGGGCACAGAGAACACGAGTATACTGAGCGCCTCTACGTGTACCAGGCACTGTGTTATAAATACTGGCGACACAAGGGATGGAGAAAACGAGAGTTTGTCTCCACATTCTTGGAGCTCATAACTGCGGAACAGGTAACCCTTAATCAAATGATCACAGTAATAAATATAAAATTACAACCGAGATAAGTGCTATGAAGGCAATATACATGTAAATGTGAGAGTTATAACCAAGATATCTGAACTCGCCTAGGAGACTGTGGAAAGTTTCTTAAGGAAATAGCACTGGAGCAGAGATCTGAGAATAATTAGGAATAAAGAGAGAGGGGGAGGATGACATAGATTTCCCTGCCAAAGAAACAGGGAGTTGCAAAGATCCTGAATGTGCAGGAGGGCGGGACCTTGGCACATTAGAGCTCCTGAGTGACAGCCAGTGTGTCTGGACTGCAGAGAGCAAGGAGGGTGGGATATGAGAAAGGCCAGAGAGGTGTGCCTGACCACAGAGGCCTTACACTGTAAGGCCCAGCCCCTCTGGAGCTCACAGCTAATGAGGAACAGAGATCATCATTGCCATGTACCACGAGTCAGGCAGTGAGGTAAGGGCTTATATTGAAGACAAATGCATCCAACAAATGTCTCCTGAGGTACCTTTCCAGGCAACTGGGTGTAATGGGAGAGACAGAATGATAAAGAGTCAATGATGATGTCACGGAATAAGTGGATTTGTGGAGTGGCCAGAAAGGGATCTTGAACCAACATTTACTGAGTGTTTTCCAGGTGCCACCTCACTGCCCTTTAAGTGGAGGCAGACTAGACTCTGGTTTCCATTGTCCCATGGAAAGGCCATCATAGACAAAAATATAAGAAACAAAATAAGTTAATGATTGACCTATGAGCTTCCAGATATGGGCCCTGATGATTTAAAAGCCAGTTTGAGAGATTCTCACGGGTAGTTTTAATAGGCTTTATAACTGTAACCACCTTATTAGATGACACTTCACACACCAACCCAGTCCATTGGGTTCCTTTTTAAACATTTCACTGATTTACTCCTCAAACCCACGGGAAGAGTTTCTAGATAAGAACATGGAGTATCAGAAAGACTAAGTGACTTATCAAAGGTCACATAGCCAAGGAAATGGAAAAGGTAAATGTTGGTCTTAGGTGTGCCTGGTCCAAAAAGTGAAGTTCGTTCCATGACAACAAAGAGACCCCCTCCGGACCTAATGTCAAGAGCAGAAATAACTCCAGCTTACCTTTCTAGCTCTGGACGCAGCGCCTTCTCCCTCTCAAGCATGGCAATAATGAGTTTCCCCCACTCTTTTTCTATGTCATTTGGATGATAACCTTGAAGGAGTTTGATGCGTCCAAATTCTATCCAAATCTTGAGAAAACAAGAGAAATTTGATGTGCAGCAAAGATGTAAAAATAAATAACAAAGATGATACTTGAGAATACTAAGGAATTTCTGCTTACCTCTAACAATTTATATAGGCGTTTAATTTTTGATTTTTCTGTCTCCTTTGGTGGAATTTCTGTTTCTTTAAACTGTAAATACTGATTATAAAGTGCCTAAAATGAAAGGGAAAAAAAAATGGAAGCTCAAACTTCAAAGACCTGCTTTCATTATGGTATGATGTTACTATTTTAAAAGCTATGTATGCATTCAGTGGAATTTCTTTATAAAACTGACACTCAGGGCTGGCCAAGCAGCTCAGTTGGTTAAGAGTGTGAGCTCTGAGCAACAGGGTCGCTGGTTCGATTTCTACATGGGCCAGTGAGCTGCGCCCAAGCTGAGCTGCCACTGAGCTGACAACAGGTAGCAGGATGGCTCAGCTGGTGAGAGCACATGGTCCTAACAACAAGGTTGCCTGTTCAACTCCCACATGGCATAGTAGGCTACGCCCACCTACAACTAAGATTGAACATGGCACCTTGAGCTGAGTGGCGGCGAGATGCATACAGGCTGCCAGTTGGCTCAGTGGTTAGAGCGTGAACTCTTAGCAACAAGGTTCCTGGTTCAACTCCTGCATGGGATGGTGGGCTATGCCCA